GCTCAACTTTGAAAAGAAATGTAGAATCCAGTGAGGATTATATATTTATTTCCTCGGAGGATGTGAAACACAGTGTTTGTAGTTCAGCTGATAAAGAACATCATGGGTTTGATACACACACACACACACACACACACACACACACACAGCACCTGCGAGATGTAAATAAGAAGCACAGCATGTTTGATTAAGATCCATCAGTGATTAAGAGGAAGTGTGTTTGTGTGAACGAGCAGCGACACACACACACACACACACACACACACACACACACACACAGCTCGACCCTGAAACACTAACCTGAAGCGACGGCAGGAGATTGCGAAGGCGAATTGGACGAGCTCCATTAGGAAGAGCCGAACACCTTCATTTCAGAATTTAATTGAGGCTGTGATCCTGCGGCGCCATCAGCTGCTGTCATTACTGTGTGTGTGTGTGTGTGTGTGTGTGTGTGTGAATGACCATTCAAAATGATCATTACATTGTTGTGAATATGCCCACATCACTCAAACACACACAAACAAAAATACTCGCACACAAACACACACTCAGTCCCCATTAGTCTGTGTGCATTCAGGTCTAAGACCCCACCGGGATAGAAAAACATCTACACACACACACACACAAACTCACACACACTCGTACAGAAACGCACTCTCACACACACACACACACACACACACACACAAACTCATACACACTCGTACAGAAATGCACTCTCTCTCTCACACACACACACACACACACACACACACACACACACACACACACACACACACACACACACACACACAAACTCATACACACTCGTACAGAAATGCACTCTCTCTCACACACACACACACACACACAGACATGCACACACACACACACACTTTTCCTCTCTCAAACACACACAAACAGGCACTCACTTCCACAGACACACACACACACACACTTTTCCTCTCTCAAACACACACAAACAGACACTCACTTGCGCACACACACACACACACACACACTGTTGTTTTTATCATCTGCAGTTTGGTGGCACAGTTTAATTGCTTTCCTGTCGTTACGTCTGATTGGCTGATTGTTTTTCCCCTCCGCTCTGAGTGGACGGAGCCGTCGCTATGACAACACACATTACCGCCTCATTGCTTCATTTGCATAAGCTTTTTCATATAAATATCAATATGGTCCAAACAAACAATAAGGAGTGCAGGCAGGAGAACACGAGTCGTTAGAGCGGAGGATGACGAGGAGAAACATCGTTTACATTCATCAGGAGCGAAGCGGCAGTTTACCAGTGAGGCTCATCTCTGCTAGAATTAAAGGGGCGTATCATGAAAATCTGCCTTTCCCGTGTGTGTGTGTGTGTGTGTGCCGACCCAGAGAGTGTGAGAGTGAAACCCGTGACTGTGAGTGTTTCTCTGAGAGCATGTATAAAGTCAGCCTGTCAGATTTCGCTCCTTCTGCCGTATGAAGAGGATCTTATTATGATATCCCCGGCCCTTAATCTGCTCGTTCACACACACACACACACACACACACACCAGCGACGTTGGGTTCAGAGCCCAGTTCTAACACACTGGAGAAGATCCAGCTGAGCCTGAAACTGTTCTGAGGTCAGCACCGACGACACTGAACACTATTGAGCACATCATGTGACCGCTGTCTTATAAACACTAGGTGCGTTCCATTCGACAGGGTCCCTACGCAGTGTTCACTGCTCAGAGTTCAAGAGTTCAACATGATGATGAGATCATCACTCCACAACAACTACACAAACGTCTCCGCTAACATTCAGAAGCGTGTAACAGTGAAGTCTCTCCGTAAAGCTGCTGTCACTCCTGATCCTGGGTCAGTCTGATCCGCCTGTGTTGAGTCTCTGAAGCTCGTGTGAAAACCCCGCCCTCTTCTGAACAGAGGCGGAGCTAAAGCTCATTTGCCTTTAAAGGGACAAACACACACGTTCACACCCAAGACTAGCTATAATAAATGATCTGGTATTTTGGGCTGAAATGTCACACACAGATTATGGGATGGCAGAGATTGATGCGTCTGCTGAAGAGAGGCGTAATATTTCACCATTAAAATGAGTTTGAAGAGTGTGACGGTCCGGACGCTGCCGTCAGCACGGTTTACTCCAGTATGGGTGTTTCTCACAGCGCTCCGCCGGTCCGAGACGACGGACACACTCCCGCCCGATGATCCCGCAGGATTCAGAACTCCAGCGCTCCTGAACACTATCCCGGCCCTCGTGTGTGTCCGGCAGGAAACGCTACAGTATATCCGGCACAATAACACTCCAGTCCTGTGTGTGTGTGTGTGTGTGTGTGTGTGTTGTGCTCTACATTGCTGGACCACACTGAACACTACACACTGCACATGTAATCAAGGTCTGGAAACACGAGGACCGATCCGGAGACTAGACTGGTCTAGACTTCTGTTGGCTAGTTTAGGTTTGGTGTAAGCTGGTGTAGGCTAGTTTAGGTTGGTCTAGACTGGTTTGGATAGGTCTAGGCTGGTTTAAGATTATCTTTGCTGGTCTCAGCTGGTCTAGTCTGGTTTAGGTTGGTCTAGGCTGGTCTCGGCTGGTTTAGGTTGGTCTCGGCTGGTCTAGGCTGGTTTCAGCTGGTCTTGGCTGGTCTAGATGGCGGAGTGGCATGCAGAACTGATGGCGCTGAGTGGAATAAGGTCTTGAGGATCGGCCGCTGTCCGTCACTCATCATCTCTGGAGTAAAGCATGAGGTCCTGCTGGAGGACTGGCGAGTTTGGTGTGGGTTTAAAATACAACTGTGGTTGTAAATTTCTTTAAAGTCGAGTCATTTATACAATACGGCAGCTTCTCCGTAATAAACGGACAAAATAACAGTATTGTTGCAAAGTTCATCGATTATGATTAAATGTCATCTATAGAAAACAAAGTTATTATTCTGAGTAATTCAGTTCATAACAGTGTTTTCCTACAGGTTTATTTCATATATTTGAGGAGGTGTAAACAGGGATTGGCTGATTATTCTTCCATTAAATGAAAGTGAAATGCTTGTACAGAATCTCAGATACGAAACTACTCACTGAAACTGTGTTCTTCTGTCAGCAGTGAAGGCGCTGGTGGCCAGAGCTTTATCAGGTGAGTGTGTGTGTGTGTGTGTGTGTGTGGTTGTGTGTGTGTCTACTGACGCGTGTCTCTTCTTCACACACAGGCGGCGCTGACCCGCCCGTCACACACACACTGCAGATCCAGTGTAACCAGAGTCTTCTTCTGCTGGAGATGGACAGATGTGGAGAGAGATTCACTGCAGACATGAAGCTGATCCATCCAGACGACAGATGCAACCTCACACATTTCATCAGGTGAACATCATCAGTGTGTGTGTGTGTGTGTGTGTCAGTAGATCAGGAGATGATGTCATGATCTCAGTGTGTCCAGCACGGCTGCTCGTGAATACTCGTGTATGATGATGAACCTCGAGCTCTGCCGGCGTCACACATCATCTCATACGCATTAACTAAACTACTGACTTCACTGCTAATGACAACACAATCCATGACGCACACTTCATCAAATGTGAAACTAATTTACATTGTAAAGCTTCTCTACGGTAGACGGTCATTATTCGCTCAACAGTGTCTTTAAAACAATTAACGATGAAGTTCAGTTTGTGTCTCAGCTAACAGCGAACACGTCACGCTCTTCTTCCAGAACGTCTGATCAAGCTATCTGCTCTCCAAACATTATTAATACATCATTCATGGAGCGCTTTCTGCTTCTTTCGGAAAGGTTTTAACGGTTTTAAACTTGTTTCTAATCTAATGTTTGAAGAACGATCCAATGTAACGTTTCCTGAACGAACGTTCACATAACCAAGAAAAAACTGTTTTTAACGTTCAGAGAACATTGAGAAATAACTTTTTAATTTTAGCGTCTGATCGCACGGTGAAGTGTGTGTGTGTGTGTGTGTGTCTTAATCCTGCTGATAATAAGACTCGGATATGAATGAGCGTTCACTGACCCGCTGGACCGGCCATTAGCGGGTCAGAACACGACCCCAATTACTGAGAGTGTGTGAGTGTGTGAGTGTGTGAGTGTGTGAGTGTGTGAGTGTGTGAGTGTGTGAGTGAGTCCAGACCTCAATCCTCGAGGACCATTCACAGCTCAGACACATCCGTTCATTTGCATATCAATCACAGGACACCACTTTAACTTCATTTATTAAGTGGTGGAGGTCATTTTCCCACAGACGCGTGTGTGTGTGTGTGTGTGTGTGTGTGTGTGTGTGTTCTGCTAGATCTCAGTGTTGGAGATTCATCGGCTCAAACGTGTCTCACACACTCCTCATGTCATTTCTCCAGATGACAGTGTGTGTGTGTGTGTGTGTTCGCTTCAGCCCCTGATGAACGTTTCATACGATCACATGACTAATAGAGATTGAGTGTGGACGGCACTAATAGTCACACACACACACACACACACATTCAGTCTCCATGTTCTTTATAGCAGTATTAGTTTCGTGTTTTCATTGTTCGATCAGGAGTTTAGTGTAAGTAAGAGCGTCTGCGTATTATGATATAAATGATGTCGTTGAAAAGGGAATGAGCGCGGCTTCTTTATTAGTGTAATAAAGCGTTGAGCTTGTGTGTGTGTGTGTGTGTGTGATCGACAGATTCATTTAAAACGCTCTGTGTCTCTGACTGAAGGAAATGACTGATCCACTGATTAACGTTAAAAGCAAAGGGCTGCTCTTATGATGTCAGTAATAACGTGTGTCCTGTCAGGACCATTATCATCAAATATGATTGACAGTTAGAATATAATGTGATTGACTCAAATCTAATATAATATAAACGAGAGGAGCTGGGGATGAAGGAGGGCAATCAGCTCCTGAGAGACGAGAGGAACTGTATGATATCAGTATATTGTGTGTTTCCTCCATGATATCAGTATAACGCGTGGCTGTGATGGCGCAGTGGGTAAGACACATGCCTTTGGTGTGAGAGATCCACCAGTGTGTCCCTGAGCAACACACTTGACCCCTAGTTGCTCCAGAGGCGTGTGACCTCTGACATATATAGCAGTTGTAAGTCAGCTAAATGAAGACATGTGCATGTGTGTTTTCTGCCTGTCCTCAGGGAGTATCACATGTTCTCGTTCTGCACGGAGGCGAACGCCGAGCGCATCGGCTGCTTCTGGCCGAACCCGCAGGTGGAGCGCTTCATCATCAACCTCCACCAGCGCTTCTTCTCCAACTGCACGCTGGACCCGCTGGTGTTCCTGGACCCGCCCGAACACACACTCACCCTCCTCATCCTCATCCCCGTCTTCCTCACGCTGGCCATGGTGGCGCTGGTGGTGTGGAGCAGCAAGCGCAGCGACGTCCTGGCCTAGGGTCAGAGGTCACGTGACTCTTTATTCCAGCCAGACGCTTCAGTCCTGAATCACTGAATCGGTTCCAGCGTGAGTGAACCTGCGCCAGGATCTCCGGATCGTCGGCTGTTATTTAATGTTTTAATTAAATAAGGTAGAATTAGGCCGTTTGTGAAAGTGTTTGTCGAGTCAGTTTGAGCGTTCATTATCAGTCCGACACACAGCGCCGGTTCATTCATCTAGTGATGGTGAGCTTGTTTTCTTCTCTGATCATTGAAATGAACGGATTCCTGTGAAACACAACGACTGCTGTGATCCGAGGAAAACACGGGAAAGCAGGAATGTTCGAACCCAGCGAGAGCTCGGCCAATCGCGGCTCTTTCAGGAGGACGGATTATTTATATGAGGAGGAAAAGCCGTGTATTGTGTGCGACTTAAGGATACAAACAAAAGACAATAGTAGCTCTTGAGCGCCTGGCCTCGTACTCTGCAGAACGAGCGAGTCAGAGCCGCAGGAAGGATATAAACGTCTTTCCCATCGCGCCGATGAATGACAGGAAACGGGTTGGTTATGACTTCACCAAAAGAGCTGCACAATCATAAACCACTGCTTCGACGGGTCTTCATCACACACACACACACACACACACACATGAATGTCAGATGAATGCATTTAAAATCCATTTGGATTATAATCTCAATGTTCATGCCTAAATGAAACACAGAAAATCATGGCATAGCTCATTATCAACTATCATGTTTTCAAAATGTATTTATTCCAATTGTAGGATCAACATAAATATGTTTATTAAGAAAATGTATTCAGGTCAAAAAAGTATGAACTTTGGAAAAATAATGACTGCATGGAAAAAGCTATATTCAGTTAGTTAAAACACACGAGATTAGCTGATGATAAATATATGAAGCTGGTTAAACACATTTCAGAAATCTGACCTGTTTCATTTATAAATGACTGACAAGTTTGCATCAGATTAAAGGGTCGGTTCACCCAAACATGAAACTCGTACCAAAGCATGTACGGTATAACTTCATTTCTCAATGTAACACAGAAGAAGATGCTTCGAAGAATGTTGGTGACCATTGACGTTATCGTTGTGTGTTTAGAGCTGCTTTAAAGTCATCATTCTCCTGTTTATCACTCTAAAGCTGCTTTAAAACAATCTCTATCTCTGTAGAAATAAAGCTGACTTCTCAGAAAGAAATAAAGTCGTTCAGGTTTGAAAAAAAAAAAACGTTGACCGAATGATTTTTGGATGAAGTAACCCTTTAAGTTTTTTATCCAAATGCATAAATCTTGAATGCCTGAATATGTGAGGCCTGGTTTCCATCCATGTGTGTTATCGGAGCAGAAGAGTCGACTCTGAGTGTTTTCGCAGCCGAACGCCTCCAGCTCTTCCTGTTGACTCTAGATTCCCACACTACTGTGTGCAAGTTCACAGAGCCACAACCAAGCTAATTTTAACAGGTTTCCGTCAGACGAGCGTTTCTTCCATGAGTTAGATAATAAATGATCGGATTTATTCTGTTTGGGCCTTATTTATTCTGAGCTGTCGCTGTGATTCTGAGCACATTCAGTTGATTCATAATTCACGTTGCAGTGTTTATTTTGAAGGCTGGTGTTTATAGAGAACTATAAACATTTCATCGGAAGAAACTAGGCCTGTCTTTAATAGGAGCTTTGGGTCAATATCTAATTACATTTTCTTTTTTTTCTTTAAGATTTATGAAGCACATTTGGGTCCTATAATTCGTTTGCTCAATGATCCCGAACAGAAGTGATGCATCTGTAAATAACGTTCATGATGAATACAGTACATTTCCACTCTGACACTGCTGATGTGCCATTATTAAAGGTTTAAAGATGCCACTGATGTTCACAAACACACACACACTTAGGCACATAGTCACACACACACACACACATACTCAATAACACAAACTCTCACTCACACACACTAACAGACACTCTCACACACACACACACACTTTCTCCTGAAGCATCTGAATGTTCGGGTCTCTTCATGAAGGTTCTAGAGTAAGCCTGTGTTCTGCTAATATTAGTCTTCATTGTGTCGGTGTGGCAGGAAGTGATGCGTCTGCTGTCGTCTGGTCATGTTACACACTGAGTTCAATGGAGTGTGTCTGTGAATCGCACCTTCATCATCAGGTAAATGAGGTCTGGCTCAGAGAAATATAGTATTAATGACGGGTTCACAGGTCAGACGAGCTTCACTTCATGTATTTCACTCATTAATAAAGCATCAGCGGATTCTTTCAGTGCTGAATTTCAATGACATTCATGATTTCTTTATGTAACGTTGCTGCAAAAGTCAGTGAATGCGAAGGCTTTCTCAAGTAGCATTTCCACATGTTGGACGGCGTTTCTGTGAGACGCTTGATTGTGAAATCTGTGAGGAAATGAAGAGTAAGAGTTTCTGTGATGAAACTGGGTTTCAGACACTGGTGACCTCTGATGAGTTTCTCAACTCATGATTCTCAGTCTGATCATTATTAGCAGAGCTGAACTCCACATCGCTTGTTCTGTGTGTCATGTGTAAGGGTTAATCCATGGCTAGCTGTGTGTTAAATATAATACATGATGTGGAGGCAAAGAACTATCCGAAGCAAAGCACTAGCCGTTCTCCTGTGAGTCGGTCGTTCTCCCGTGAGTCAGTCGTTCTCCCGTGAGTCAGTCGTTCTCCAGTGAGTCAGTCGTTCTCATGTGAGTCAGTCGTTCTCCAGTGAGTCAGTCGTTCTCCCGTGAGTCAGTCGTTCTCCCGTGAGTCAGTCGTTCTCCAGTGAGTCAGTCGTTCTCCTGTGAGTCAGTCGTTCTCCAGTGAGTCAGTCGTTCTCCCGTGAGTCAGTCGTTCTCCCGTGAGTCAGTCGTTCTCCAGTGAGTCAGTCGTTCTCCCGTGAGTCAGTCGTTCTCCCGTGAGTCAGTCGCTCTCCCGCGAGTCGGTCGTTCTGAGTCGGTCGTTCTCCTGTGAGTCAGTCGTTCTCCAGTGAGTCAGTCGTTCTCCCGTGAGTCAGTCGTTCTCCCGTGAGTCAGTCGTTCTCCCGTGAGTCAGTCGTTCTCCCGTGAGTCAGTCGTTCTCCCGTGAGTCAGTCGTTCTCCCGTGAGTCAGTCGTTCTCCCGTGAGTCAGTCGTTCTCCCGTGAGTCAGTCGTTCTCCAGTGAGTCAGTCGTTCTCCCGTGAGTCAGTCGTTCTCCCGTGAGTCAGTCGCTCTCCCGCGAGTCGGTCGTTCTGAGTCGGTCGTTCTCCCGTGAGTCGGTCGTTCTCCCGTGAGTCGGTCGTTCTCCCGTGAGTCAGTCGCTCTCCCGCGAGTCGGTCGTTCTGAGTCGGTCGTTCTCCCGTGAGTCGGTCGTTCTCCCGTGAGTCAGTCGCTCTCCCGTGAGTCAGTCGCTCTCCCGCGAGTCGGTCGTTCTGAGTCGGTCGTTCTCCCGTGAGTCGGTCGCTCTCCCGTGAGTCAGTCGCTCTCCCGCGAGTCGGTCGCTCTCCCGTGAGTCAGTCGCTCTCCCGCGAGTCGGTCGTTCTGAGTCGGTCGTTCTCCCGTGAGTCAGTCGTTCTCCCGTGAGTCAGTCGCTCTCCCGCGAGTCGGTCGTTCTGAGTCGGTCGTTCTCCCGTGAGTCGGTCGTTCTCCCGCGAGTCGGTCGTTCTCCCGCGAGTCGGTCGCTCTCCCGCGAGTCGGTCGCTCTCCCGCGAGTCAGTCGTTCTCCCGCGAGTCAGTCGTTCTCCCGCGAGTCAGTCGCTCTCCCGCGAGTCGGTCGCTCTCCCGTGAGTCAGTCGCTCTCCCGCGAGTCGGTCGTTCTGAGTCGGTCGTTCTCCCGTGAGTCAGTCGTTCTCCCGTGAGTCAGTCGCTCTCCCGCGAGTCGGTCGTTCTGAGTCGGTCGTTCTCCCGTGAGTCGGTCGTTCTCCCGCGAGTCGGTCGCTCTCCCGCGAGTCGGTCGTTCTCCCGCGAGTCAGTCGTTCTCCCGCGAGTCAGTTGTTCTCCCGTGAGTCAGTCGTAGTCGGTCGTTCCCCCGTGAGTCAGTCGTTGGCTCGTACCCAGGACGATAGATCTCATTCCTGTGCTTTGTTTATATTATCCTGTCCTGAACGATCCTCATAAACATTCGGTGTGACGCAGAAGACTCCGTGAGCAGCGTCTCCTCAAATGCAACGGGTGTCTGAATACATGTAAAGCATTGATCTAAAGAGTGTGTGTGTTATAGATATAAAGATCTGAAGTGTGTGTGTGTTTTAACTACATGCTGAAGGAAATCAATTGCAGTGTGTGTCTGAACACTGCAGAAGTAAACATGGCCTTCACGGGTGTGGATCTGTTCAGGCTTCAGATGCACAACATCATCCCTGTCCCAGACATACTCCCACAGATGACCCGTTTTCTGAGAGGAATAATGTGTGAGTGTGAGTGTGTGTGTGTGTGTGTGTGTGTGTGTGTGTGTTTCATCCTCACAGTGAGAAACGCTGCCAGAGAAATGCAGCTCTAATCAATCAAACTATTGAAGAGAAACACAGATCAGAGCAAATGCTGCGCCACTTTATATCATGAACAACAACAGCTCTTATATGATATAAATGTATGCGCTTCTGATGGCAATATTTGATCACCAAAACAATGATTGTTTGTGTAGGAGCTATTTTGAGTTTGGTTTAATCTAAATTGTTGTGCTATTGGAGCACTGGAATGTTTTGTTAAATTTAGGATCCTTTATTTTGTAGGGACTTTTATTTTGACAGTTGGTGAGAAAGTTTGAATAAAAAGATGGCCGCCTCTCACTTTTTAAAACACAAGAAAAGAAAAAGGAAGCTTTTGGAACGTACAAGCATACAGTTCTTTACTTTGCTATCGAAACGCTATTGAATCAATTGAACACTACGTGGACATTAGTTTTGACATTTAAGTTGTGCCTTTTAACACCCTTTCTTCAATCAACTACCAGTTGTTTGTTGGATTACTGGAATCCATCCTGTCTGATACTACCTGCCCGCTGCCTGCCTTACTCGGCTTATCAACCTACTACCTGCTGGCATCCCATCTCATCCATCAAAAAAGGTACAATTTAAGTTTCTTTGCGTTGGATAGCTTGTTAAAGAAGTAAACCAATACGTCCCAGCTATCAGTGGTCCGCCATCACAGTTTGTTTTCTGTAATATTTCTGTTTTTTAAAATCCCGTTTGCTTCATGCTTTACACTTTAATTTGTTCACCCGCTGTTGTTTTCTGCTGTCATTATTTTATAGTTTGTGTTTATGGATAAACTGGTTATCAAAATTAAACCCAGAGAAATATTCACTGGAGAGAGTGATGGCTGTGACAACTAGCCCCGGTGTTCCTGTTCTGTTCTTCAAGACTGCAGAAATTGAGGCAGGGAGTAATATTCTCCTTTCCAAACGCGTTCATTAATATGCGCAGAGTAATTTATTCCTCCGTCTGTTCATCATGCGCTGCTCTTGCTCTGTTTCCAGTTTCTGTGCGATCGGGAGGAACACACATGCATTTCCACGTTATATAATCACTTTCAGTCTGTTTGGAGTTTTTCCGGTCCAATCGTTTAAATGTTTACTGCCAACATTTAATAATGTTGGGAACTTTTGGAAAAACGAGCATTCAAAGGAGATGGAGCGATCAGTCTTCATCGCGATCAGTGAGGTTGACTACAGGAAGTGACATCACTGCACTTCTTGTTAGCTGCTCTCTGACCACCTGGGACACAGATCCTGATATTTATTAATATTGATTCAAAAGGAACTGACACAGACGTGAGGTCAGAGGTCGTTCGCATCAGAGTCTCTGACCTTCAAACATCCTTATAGAGAGATTCAATCTGATCGACATGAGGAAGATCTTCATGTTCTCTATAAACAAACACCATCATCATCATCACCACCAATTATCATCATCGTCTTCATCTGAATATATCAGATGCGATATTACACTCATAGCTCTGCCACATAAGAAAAAAACACGCTTTTGTAAATCATAATAATGACAAAAAATAAAAATTATGAAAAAAAAAACTTTTTAACATTTAATCAGACTTAGCATGTCATAATGTTGACTTTGTCTGATAATTTTGACCTTCTATCTCATAATTATGACTATGCCATAATTTTGCCTTTTTTATTTTGGCAGAAATGGACCGTATAATAAAAATGGGATGATTTCTTCAGGAATATTCCAGATAGTTTTCTCTCTGATTGTGGAACAGTATGTCATAACATGTGAAGCTGCAGAACATTATATATAGTCTGTAAACCTTGAGGCCGTTTCTTGTTTTCCCACTGCAGTCTAACGTCTAAATAAATAAATAACACACACTCTTTGGGGACGTTCCCTTCTTGTGAGAATGCCTCTGCTTCTCAACAGAGAGACGAGCGCCTGAGATCTCCAGAGAAACGCTCCACGACAGAGATCTTTTGAACAGCATAATAACAACAAAGGAAAACGTCCAAACGGCGCAGAAGAATGAATGTGGAGCTGCCACAGTATCGGCAGCGGCCGCCGTGTCTATGGTCGCTTTGGCTGACTCTCGTGTGGATCTCCTTCCAGAAGTTATATGTTCATCACTAGAAGCTTCCAGCAATCACACTCGTGAGTGTGTGTGTGTGTGTCACGAGCCTCGGGATATTTTTCTCAATAACAATAATATATATTTATGAGAGTTTGGGACTGTGCATCAATATTATTATATTAAGTTTCAAAGCTAAATTTCTCATCAAATAATATAAGGGAATCATTCTCTCTTCTCTGTGACAGATAAATTAATGAGATTAATTACATTAGCTGGAAAATAGAGGCGTTTTGTTCTCGACCACCACATCACTCCTTTCTGAGTTCTGAGCGGACATTTAGAACATCTCAATGTCATTTAATCATATACAATATATGAATTTATTGTAAAGAAAAATGCAAATGGTCAGAACCTCAGCAGACTGAAGATGAAGACAGACAGTGTGTTTGACAGACAGAGGATTAGTTAGTGAGGTTAGTGGGGGACGTTGGTAGATAGTGAGGTTAGTTAGTGGGAGATGTGGGTAGTTAGTGAGGTTAGTTAGTGGAGGATGTGGGTAATTAGTGGGTGATATGGGTCGTGGATGTGGGTAGTTAGTGAGGTTACTTAGTGAGGTTAGCGGTAGTTAGTGAGATTAGTTAGTGGGGGATGTGGGTAGTTAGTAGGTGATATGGGTAGTCGATGTGGGTAGTTAGTGAGGTTAGTGGGTGATGTGGGTAGTTAGTGAGGTTAGCGATAGTAGTAAGTGAGGTTAGTTAGTGGAGGATGTGGGTAGTTTGTGAGTGATATGGGTAGTGGATGTGGGTAGTTAGTGAGGTTACTTAGTGAGGTTAGTGGTAGTTAGTGAGGTTAGTGGGGGATGTGGGTAGTTAGTTGGTTATATGAGTAGGGGATGTGGGTAGTTAGTGAGGTTAGTGGAGCATGTGGGTAATTAGTGGAGTGATATGGGTAGTGGATGTGGGTAGTTAGTGAGGTTAGTGGATGATGTGGGTAATTAGTGGAGTGATATGGGTAGTGGATGTGGGTAGTTAGTGAGGTTAGTGGGGGACGTTGGTAGATAGTGAGGTTAGTTAGTGGGAGATGTGGGTGGTTAATGAGGTTAGTTAGTGTGTGATGTGGGTAGTTAGTGAGGTTAGTTAGTGGAGGATGTGGGTAATTAGTGGGGTGATATGGGTAGTGGATGTGGGTAGTTAGTGAGGTTAGTGAGGGCGTTGGTGGATAGTGAGGTTAGTTAGTGGGAGATGTGGGTGGTTAATGAGGTTAGTTAGTGTGTGATGTGGGTAGTTAGTGAGGTTAGTTAGTGGAGGATGTGGGTAATTAGTGGGTGATGTGGGTTGTGGATGTGGGTAGTTAGTGAGGTTACTTAGTGAGGTTAGTGGTAGTTAGTGAGGTTAGATAGTGGGGGATGTGGGTAGTTAGTGGATGATGTGGATAGTTAGTGAGGTTAGTTAGTGTGTGATGTGGGTAGTTAGTTAGGTTACTTAGTGAGGTTAGTGGTAGTTAGTGAGGTTAGATAGTGGGGGATGTTGGTAGTTAGTGGATGATGTGGGTAGTTAGTGAGGTTAGTTAGTGGGGGATGTGGGTAGTTAGTGGGTGATATGGGTAGTGGATGTGGGTAGTTAGTGTGTGATTTGGGTAGTTAGTGAGGTTAGTGATAGTTAGTGAGGTTAGTTAGTGGGGTATGTGGGTTGTTAGTTGGTGATATGAGTAGGGGGTGTGGGTGGTTAGTGAGGTTAGTTAGTGGGTGATGTGGGTAGTTAGTGATTCTCTCTCTAAAACACCAGCTGATTCAAACACAGAGAGACATGATGAAGAACTCTGATGTTGCTGGAGAGAAAACATCCGGCTTGATCTGGTGAATCACATTCAGGCTTGTATAAATGTCACTGAAATATGACATGTATATGATGTTTGTTTTAATGACAATCACAAGACTGAGATTTCATTGTTCTGAAATGTATTTAAACTGACCTTTGAGTCTGTAAACGCAGTGTGTGTGTGTGTGTGTGTGTGTGTGTGTGTGTGTGTGTGTGTGTGTGTGTGCGCGCAGACACAGAACCCTCGGCTCTCTCTCGGGAAATGGGGAGTTATCTGGAAATCAGCAGCTGGATTTCCCATGGAGAAACTAGTGCATCTGATCATGGTGCCGGCGGGTCGAACCCAAACAGCAACACACAACTTCCTCGAACAACACGTGAGGCAGAGCGACAGAACGACCCCGCACTCTCATTAGACCCAAACAAATCACTGCCACTCTCACACGACTCATGCTGATTCTTTCTACATCCTGCAAAGTGAAAACCATTTTAAATGCTTGATATGATTAAAAAGCAACAGTCCGACTCTCTCGCCTTTCGCTGCTCTTCTCGTACTGTTTCTCTTATTGTTTTCTATGATAATGTAATATTTTAAGTATAGCTAAACTGAAATCAGCAATTGGACTTCAAGAACCAAAATATGTAAAAATGCATATCAGTAATTCCCAGGCATTTAATTCCCATTCTTAGTAATGAGAGTTTACCTACAGAAGAGTTTATCTACTGCTGTACTTTCATAGATCTCGGCTGTGATGACGTGGATTCTCTTTCGCAAACTTTGATTTTGCTTCTGGATCAGTTGCAGGTTTGAGTGACGCTGGATGGAGAGAGCATTACAATAGTTCAGTCTGGATGGAGCAAGAGCTTAAGTCGAAGGTGATGCTCTTTCATCCAGCGGGAAAGTTGGATTCCGTCCAGCTACCGTCGGATTCTCCGGCTGGAATGAGAGGTAGAGTTGTGTGTCATCAGTGTAGCAGTGATGGGAAAGCCATTAGTGACAGATTCTAGGGTTGACATGTAGATGGAGAAGAGAAGCGGTCCCAGCACTGAGCCCTGAGGCACTCCAGTAATTAGATGATAGCAGTGATGGGAAAGCCATGTTTTTGAATGACAGATTCTAGGGATGACATGTCGATGGAGAAGAGCTGATTTTGAGTCTCAGAGCTTTGCCCACGTTTCATTGTTTTACTCGGACGTATGACACAATAGAGGAGAGGAGACCAGCGCAACTTCCCTTTCATGTCAACTTCAAAGTAAAACCTTAAAAGTATTAATGTCTTATATTTGAATGCGCTGACTGTACTGTTTCACCTAAATCAGGGAGAACGATAAGCATGTTAGTGCAGTGAAGCGCCGCATGTAAACTCTGCATTGCTCCAGTTTCGTGGCCTGTGAGTGACTCCGGCAGCGATACACTGAGTTAAAGCACTGCAGTGATGTTTATTTATCACTGATAGACACAAACGTGTGTCCTTCAGAGCGCAGAGAGACCGAGATCAGCTGTTTAACATGCGGCTTCAAACCATGAACACATGCGGCCTCAGATCTGCTCAGCAGGGACCAAACGCAACGGGACGACGAGAGCCAAACACAAACATGATCTCCAGCAGCGCCGAACCTCACAACAACAGCTCTCGCTCGCCCCCTTCTCTCATCCCTGAGGCTCTCGCTCTTTTATCTCTCTCCCTTTCTCTCATTCTGTCTCCCTCTCTCTGTCTTTCTCTGTCTCACCCTCTCTGTCTCTCTCTCATCTCAGTCTCCCTATCCCCCCCCCCTCTCTCTCTCTCTTTCCCCCTTCCCTCATCCCTGAGGCTCTCACTCTTTTATCTCTGTCTCTGTCCCTCTCTCTCTCTGTTGTATTGTAGGCATGTGTTCCGCATATTCGGCCACTAAAGGAAAATCTTTTTGTGACCGTCACATGAGAGACATGCAGCCGTGGTTCTGGTGCAGTGAATGAAATGGATAAGCATCACTCCAAGAATTAAACATGATTTGGCTAGAATGGCTATGAAATGTTGTCATGTGATTAATGACCGACTGATGAGTGAATCAGACACATGAAAACACATGCACTCCATAACAGCCCAGAGGTATGACTCTTCTGCACGTGCACATCATTATTACAATAACGACTGATAAAGCTTGATAATAACAATGTCCTCTCCTGATGCAGGTCCCAGGACCGAAGAGTAATCCGAGAATGGACGAAGATGAAGATGATTATAATGATGATGATGATGATGAAGAAGACGGAGGGAAACAGGAATGCAGATGTGTAGTCGAGTGAGTCACAGGTATGATCAATGACACCAGAGAGAGAGAGTTTGTGATGAGTGATTATGAAGATGAAGGTGATGATGACAGGGGGGAGGAATCCATTCGGATGGAATACAGAACAACTGTAAAATTGCTAAGCTAATAATTGATAAGCTTTTTTGTCATTATCTTTTCTAATAACTAATATTTACATTTTATTATATATTTTTGCTTTATATAATACAGATAGTTTCAAAGCAGCCTCAGAGTAATAATCTGTGTAAAGAAACAGTGTGATCCAGTTATGAAGATCATCAATTATTAAAAGTTCATTTCATTAAAGCAGTTCTGCGGAGAGCAGTGATGTCATCATCAGCTTAGTCTGATCAGTAAACCTGTCCACGACTAACCCTGTCCACGACTAACCCTGTCCAAGACTAACCCTGTCCACGACTAACCCTGTCCACGACTAACCCTGTCCAAGACTAACCCTGTCCACGACTAACCCTGTCCACGACTAACCCTGTCCAAGACTAACCCTGTCCACGACTAACCCTGTCCAAGACTAACCCTGTCCACGACTAACCCTGTCCAAGACTAACCCTGTCCACGACTAACCCTGTCCACGACTAACCCTGTCCAAGACTAACCCTGTCCAAGACTAACCCTGTCCAAGACTAACCCTGTCCACGACTAACCCTGTCCGCGACTAACCCTGTCCAAGACTAACCCTGTCCAAGACTAACCCTGTCCAAGACTAACCCTGTCCAAGACTATCCCTGTCCACGACTAACCCTGTCCAAGACTAACCCTGTCCAAGACTAACCCTGTCCAAGACTATCCCTGTCCACGACTAACCCTGTCCAAGACTAACCCTGTCCAAGACTAACCCTGTCCAAGACTATCCCTGTCCACGACTAACCCTGTCCAAGACTAACCCTGTCCACGACTAACCCTGTCCAAGACTAACCCTGTCCACGACTAACCCTGTCCAAGACTAACCCTGTCCGCGACTAACCCTGTCCAAGACTAACCCTGTCCAAGACTAACCCTGTCCAAGACTAACCCTGTCCACGACTAACCCTGTCCACGACTAACCCTGTCCAAGACTAACCCTGTCCACGACTAACCCTGTCCACGACTAACCCTGTCCACGACTAACCCTGTCCAAGACTAACCCTGTCCACGACTAACCCTGTCCAAGACTAACCCTGTCCAAGACTATCCCTGTCCACGACTAACCCTGTCCAAGACTAACCCTGTCCAAGAGTAACCCTGTCCACGACTAACCCTGTCCAAGACTAACCCTGTCCACGACTAACCCTGTCCAAGACTAACCCTGTCCACGACTAACCCTGTCCACGACTAACCCTGTCCAAGACTAACCCTGTCCACGACTAACCCTGTCCACGACTAACCCTGTCCACGACTAACCCTGTCCAAGACTATCCCTGTCCACGACTAACCCTGTCAAAGACTAACCCTGTCCAAGACTAACCCTGTCCAAGAGTAACCCTGTCCGCGACTAACCCTGTCCACGACTAACCCTGTCCAAGACTAACCCTGTCCAAGACTATCCCTGTCCACGACTAACCCTGTCCAAGACTAACCCTGTCCAAGACTAACCCTGTCCACGACTAACCCTGTCCAAGACTAACCCTGTCCACGACTAACCCTGTCCAAGACTATCCCTGTCCACGACTAACCCTGTCCAAGACTAACCCTGTCCAAGACTAACCCTGTCCACGACTAACCCTGTCCGCGACTAACCCTGTCCAAGACTAACCCTGTCCAAGACTAACCCTGTCCAAGACTAACCCTGTCCACGACTAACCCTGTCCACGACTAACCCTGTCCAAGACTAACCCTGTCCACGACTAACCCTGTCCACGACTAACCCTGTCCGCGACTAACCCTGTCCAAGACTAACCCTGTCCAAGACTAACCCTGTCCAAGACTATCCCTGTCCACGACTAACCCTGTCCAAGACTAACCCTGTCCAAGACTAACCCTGTCCACGACTAACCCTGTCCAAGACTAACCCTGTCCAAGACTATCCCTGTCCACGACTAACCCTGTCCAAGACTAACCCTGTCCAAGACTAACCCTGTCCAAGACTAACCCTGTCCAAGACTATCCCTGTCCACGACTAACCCTGTCCAAGACTAACCCTGTCCAAGACTATCATCAGATAATGTGCTGAAGCCTGTATGTGGATATGTGTTACAGAGACTGCAGATATACTCATTATCAATATCTTCAGCAGATGTTTAAATCTCAGATTCTGTTCACTGTTTCTAAAGTGTCCTGTATTTGTCTTGTCTGTGAACATTGTTCCTTTCTTATTTCAATGCATTTTTCCTTGTTTTGTGTGTAAAACGGAAAAATACACTTCATTCTAAAGAGGCCTTTTAATGTTATGTGCTTCTGCTAGATTGTGCATCTTATTTTAAGGATGTTTATTTATTTTTGCAAGATGAGAAGGCAAGAGGAGGATATTAGATGAGTTTGTGTTTTATTAGCAATTACAGACTCAAGAGCGAGACCTCCATCAAACATGCTTATGAATATCATTTTTTGAAAAGCTCTGCCTTTGTTTTCTTGTTTTTTCTACTGAACAATAGAAGACGGTGCTTTTGATCTGTTTTTTTAAATCTGAAGAGTGTATATGATTATGATTATCAGACTAATCTCGTGATGTGCACAGGGCTGTGTGATCTTGAGGAAACACGACCATTTCAAATTATTTAAATGTCAGTTTCTTTGCTTAAAATTTTGTTTTAGCATCTCTTTAAAAGCTATTTAAAATCCTTCCAGTTCTATTTAAATTGTAAATGACATTCATTATGCCTCAGTGATATTTCTCTGTGAACAGAAACACTTCCATTCTCTACTGAGTTCAGATAATCAAGACTGATGTTTCTCATTCAGGCGCTCTAATTCACTTATATCTCAGCATTACAAGCTTTCAGCCCACACACACACACACACACACACACACACACACTCACACACACAGAGTTATTATTGGTGCAGTTGAGATCAGGATGAATGTGTTTCTTGAGATTTAAAAAGCCTCTTGACGTTTGATCAGTTTCGCGTTCAGCCCTTCATCAGACTCTCTCGTACAGTGACTCGGTGTACAGTGACTCGGTGGACAGTGACTCTGTGTACAGTGACTCGGTGTGCAGTGACTCGGTGTACAGTGACTCGGTGTGCAGTGACTCGGTGTACAGTGACTCGGTGTGCAGTATCTCGGTGTGCAGTGACTCGGTGGACAGTGACTCGGTGTGCAGTGACTCGGTGTACAGTGACTCGGTGTACAGTGACTCGGTGTACAGTGACTCGGTGTACAGTGACTCGGTGTACAGTGACTCGGTGTACAGTGACTCGGTGTACAGTGACTCGGTGTGCAGTGACTCGGTGTACAGTGACTCGGTGTGCAGTATCTCGGTGTGCAGTGACTCGGTGGACAGTGACTCGGTGTGCAGTGACTCGGTGTACAGTGACTCGGTGTACAGTGACTCGGTGTGCAGTGACTCGGTGTGCAGTGACTCGGTGTGCAGTGACTCGGTGTACAGTGACTCGGTGTACAGTGACTCGGTGTACAGTGACTCGGTGTACAGTGACTCGGTGTGCAGTGACTCGGTGTGCAGTGACTCGGTGTGCAGTGACGACTCGGTGTACAGTGACTCGGTGTACAGTGACTCGGTGTACAGTGACTCGGTGTACAGTGACTCGGTGTGCAGTGACTCGGTGTGCAGTGACTCGGTGTGCAGTGACTCAGTGTACACTGACTCGGTGTGCAGTAACTCGGTGTACAGTGACTCGGTGTACAGTGACTCGGTGTGCAGTGACTCGGTGTACAGTGACTCGGTGTGCAGTGACTCGGTGTACAGTGACTCGGTGTGCAGTGACTCGGTGTACAGTGACTCGGTGTGCAGTGCAGTGGCTCGGTGTGCAGTGCAGTGACTCAGTGTACACTGACTCGGTGTGCAGTAACTCGGTGTACAGTGACTCGGTGTGCAGTAACTCGGTGTACAGTGACTCAGTGTACACTGACTCGGTGTACAGTGACTCGGTGTATAGTGACTCGGTGTACAGTGACTCGGTGTACAGTGACTCGGTGTACAGTGACTCGGTGTACAGTGACTCGGTGTGCAGTAACTCGGTGTACAGTGACTCGGTGTGCAGTAACTCGGTGTACAGTGACTCAGTGTACACTGACTCGGTGTACAGTGACTCGGTGTATAGTGACTCGGTGTACAGTGACTCGGTGTGCAGTAACTCGGTGTACAGTATGAAATGTGCAGGATCACTTATTCTGACATTTACATTATTATGTGAGGTCAGTCATTAGTGTTCTTTCTCTGGCAAATGTTAATACGGCACAGAATAATTCCTGAAAGGTTTATTGAACAGT